AACAAAATCCTGAAACACGTCAAATTTAATTTTTCAACAGAAAAATGCTACCCCTACCTTAAACTCCAGGCGAATGACAGGTCTCTTCTTTTTCTATTCAAAAATGTTATCGCTTTTAAGTTTATTGCAACAATCATGTAGTTACTGAAACTCGATAAAATACACTCAAAACGTAATGCAAAATACTAAAACTTATTTCATACGAAAAAGAAGGCATGACCGACCTAATCGCAAGCGTTATTCTTTCAAGTCATTCAAATCTGAAGGTTTAATTTTGTACACATTACTCTTTACATATCGCCATAAAAAGAAATCTAAAGATGAAAGATCAGGTGATCGCGCTGGCCATTCAATCCATCCTCGCCTCCCTATCCACCGATTGGGAAATGTTTTATTAACTTGGTAATGTGGTGTTGCTCCATCCTGCTGAAATCATATCGTATTCACTGGAACTTGAGAGTTTCCTGAATCAGAATATAAATTTGCTAAACTTGAAATGACATCATTTTGAAGTAGTGCCAAATAATTATCGCTTTTCAAGTTGCCCTCAATGAAAATGAGATCAATGATATGATTTCATACAATCCCTGCCCAAACATTAACCTTTTGAGGGTATTGCGTGTGTTTTGCTATCATCCAGTGAGGATTTTCCGTTGACCAGTAGCGGCAATTTTGCCGATTAGCATGACCGTTAAGAGACAAAGTACACTCATCAGTAAACATAACGTCTTCTAATTGGATGATATTGAAATCCAACATGTCCATCATTTGCTCACAAAAATAAGTTCTTGTATCAAAATCGTCTTCCATGAGCTCCTGAGTAGGTATCATTTTATAGGGATGCATTTTATTTTCTTTCAATATGTTTACTATCGATTTATGGCTAACATTGAATGTAGTGGATGCCTGTCTACTCGATGTATGTGGGTTATCCTCAAACACAAGTATCACATCTAATTTTAGTTCATCACCAATTGCATTGACAGCTGCATTTTCGTTGATCTAACCATTTGTCAGACTTGAAGTTAACGAACTTTAAAGTTAAATTAAAATACGGACAAACGGAAATTATTTACCATTTTTGTTAAAGATACCATCTAAAAAGAGCATTGCTATGGTTTTGCTTACTTTCTTATTATCAATACCTCATCATGAAATAAGTTTTGAGTGTATTTTATCGAAATTTCAATTAATTTGATATTAATTGTTGCAATAAACTTGAAAGCGATACCTAACATTTCTGAATAGAGTATGAAGAGTCCTTTCAAACGATATATAACAAGCCTATACTTCCATTAAAAAAAATTAGAATTGTACCTGTCATTCGACGGAGGTTGAA